CTACAACTATTGTAGAAATAAATCTTGCCATAATATCAAAAAAAAGAAAAAAGATTACGCAGCTAGCTACAGGGAGGACCGGGACTGTGGCTTCTGGCTTTGCTTCTTGTTTCCCGAGCTGCTCTGGGGCTGGGGTAGCCTGTCATGACCTGGCCTGGCCCTCAGCAGCAGGCTGGGTCTCTGAGGGAATGCAGCTGGACCTGGAGTGGGGGGATTGGGGTGAGGGGGGTGGTCTGAGTGCCCGTGTCCTCCAGCATCTCAGCCCCTCCCCATTTCCTTCTCTGGCTCCCTCACTCGGCCTCCTGTGGTTGCAAATGCTGAGCGCCAAGTTGCTCTTTGCCTGATTGCATCTGCGCTGGAAACACAATGTTAATTAATGTGTCTGTGGCTCAAGGCCTGGCTGCCGAGGCCCAAGTCCGCCCGCCAGGCCTGGAGCCGGGCAAGCTCACGAGCTGGCCCTCTGGCTTCTTGGAGCGCCACTGCCGACAGATGCCTATTTTAACGGTGCACATCTGGTGGCTAGGTAATCGCCAGTGTTTGCCCTCCTCGCTTGGTGCTTTGATGGAAGACTCTGGAGGCCCCCCTCTGTTCCAGCAAAGTGTTTGCTTTGCAATTGTGCTAGAATACCATCTAATTCTGCTCTCGCATCTTCCGAAGGTTCTAATCAGGCTCTTACTTTATTTAATTAAAAATCCATCTCAGGCAAATACAGACTAAATTAGGAAGCTCTCTCATTCCTGGAACACAGGGAAGACAGCCTCCCTCTGGGAACCGGCTGGGACATTTTCCCTGGCTGAGATGTCACAGCAAAGCAGATGGGTCTTGGATGGGGAGGCTGGCAGGGCCAGGGTGGAGAAGCACATGCCTCCCTGTCCTCTGCTGGAACAGCTGCCCTGCCTACCCTCTGCTGCTGCGAACAGATCTTGCCCGCCAGCAGGTCAGCTGCTTCCTGCGAGGCCTCCCTCCAGGGCAGTAGGGGGTGCTCTACACCGCAGGAGGCTCAGCCGGCAGGGTTCTGCAGGGCCAGCTGCGAGCCAGGACCCAGGGGCCAGAGAGGCCTATAGGAGGGTCTGGGGATAGCTCTTGCTTGCCTGGGGTTTCGTTTGTTTACGGTGAGAGACTTTTGATGGATGGATGACTGCTCAGGCTCCGTTTCTGGCTCTCAGGCATTGCACCGGTGATGCTGCTGGATCATCAGAACACCCCTCCTCCTTGTTTAACAGATCTCCAGATTAGAATCCCCCCACCCTACAACCTGACTGTGAGCCATAGGACAGAGCAGGCCTGGAGGGCTGCCCTTTAAATGCTACCCCAAACAGAACTGAGGCTGTGCTCCGAAGCCCGACTCCTCACCAGCAGAGACCAGCCTGGCACTGCTGACCTTCAGGAATGCAGAGAGGCCGGGCAATGGGCAGGGGTTTGCAGGTGGAGCATCTGGGGTGTCTTCTGAATGTTCATTAAGCTGTGGGGCTTCTGGGAGTCTCTTTGCCTCTCCAACCTGTCCCTGTCTGGGAAACATTTGGAATAATTTACACTTTTAATACTGAGGATTTTCCACTCTATAACTGAGATGCTAGAGAGGATGGGGCCTGCCAGTGGTTGGGTCTCCCTAGGGGCAGTTCTGGTACAGCTCAAGGGCAAGCTGTATCCCCATCTCCTTCAGGTCCTGGGTGACAGCAGCGGCAGGCCCCAGATGGTACAAGTGGATGTACTACAGGTTGGTGTTGCGAAGTCACATGGCAGTGCGTGGAGGAGAGTGGTGGTGATCTGCTTCCATAAGGAACACGCGGTGCAGCACAGCTCCGCTCAGGCACACACGTGGCCAGGGCTTGCCCCACGTTGCTTAGGAAGTCAGAGGGGCTGAACAGCCTGTGGCCCCCTCAAGCGAACACACCTTGGCATCTCTAAACAGGGGTGCCAGGCCACAGAAGACAGATCCCTCTCTGGCCCGGGGCTGAACAAGCTCTGAAGGTGAAGCGTTTTCAACGGCCCTTAGCAAGGCTCTCTCTGGCATTTTGCAGCCCTTGAAACCTGTGAGGTCAGGTTCAAAATCCTCCCCTCGCCCTGCGCTCACTGCCATTCCGGCCACCTCTCCCTTTAATAGCTCCAGGTTTTGAAAGCTGGCCAGGCAGCTCCTATGTACCCTGCCGGGTGGCTGATCCCCTTGATCCTTTCATGCAAGGACCAGAGGGGGCACAGAGGCTTTGATGACTGGCCCTGAGGTCTTCCTCCCCATCTCCAGAAGCCAAGCTCAGAAGTGGTTAAGTGATCCCGTGGGCCCGTCTGCAGCAGCATTTGGAATGCTCTGTCCTGGTGCGCTAGGCTGTGTAGATCCAAAGAGAACCTGACACCTTCTTAAATATTTCATCTTGGAGCAGCCGGGCACCTCATCTACCAGGCAAGCAGGCAGAGACTGCCCTCCCTGTTGTCAAACCTTCACAACAGCTGCTAAGACACGGGGCGGGGCAGAATCACACTCCCCTCTCCGCTAGCCTGTGCCAAACTCAGGTGTGAGGGGCCGTGAGCATCGGGAGGAGCCGGTCCTGCCTAGGCTCTACTTCGTCCCAGCTGGGGACTCTGGTGGAGGGCCCTGTGCTTCCCTGAGCCTCAGTTTCTCAGCTGGGCTAACACTGCCTGTCCCACGGAGCTGAGGCAGGAGCAGCTGAGATGAGGTGTGTGAAGGTGCTTTGGGAGTTGCTGCAAAGCTCTTTGCAAATGTGAGCTATTATTACGTATTATGACGTGTGCACTAGGCTGGTCCCTGGGGAGCTGGGATCTGCAGCATCTGGCTGGTGGAGGGAGGAGGGGGCTGAACTCTGGGAAGAGCCAGGTAGGTTAAGAGGGCACTGGGCTCATTCATTGTGATATTTTCTGGCAGGTCTGCCTGAGAGGAGTGGGGGGTGGGGGTCTCCTCAGGGCACTCTGGCTCCTGGGGACACAAGGTAAAGGCAGGCCCAGAGGAAGGGGATCCCTTTTGGGATCAGGGCCTGGGATGCTTCTTCTTAGGAGTGACTTAGGACAGTCCTTGTGGCAGTTGGATGGTCTTAGGAAAACCGGAATGGCTATGAAAAGTGCACAGGTGGGGTCCAACCTCTCAGGTAGGTCCCAGCCTCATGATGCCTCCCTGGGGGTGTGGCCTTTTATAAGGGAGGAAACGGGAACCTCCCCTTCGCTGCTCTGTGCTTCTCTTCTTGTCTGCTGGGCTGCCTGCGGGGCTGGCCCCATGTGGGTCATCAGCACCCTGCCTGTTGCCACCGACCTTGGATCTCCCGGGGCTGTGCACACATTCTGCACTAGCTCTCAGTGTCGGCTGCCTGCGGCTACATCAGTCTGAACAGGGCCCTGGCTTGCATCGGACTTGTGGACTTGACTTGGACTGGGCTGTGAAGCCTTCTTTTTATTTTTATTTTAAAAAATCATTTTATTGGGGGCTTGTACAACTCTTATCACAATCCATCCATCCATTGTGTCAAGCACATTTGTACATTTGTTACCATCATCATTCTCAAAACATTTGCTTTCTACTTGAGCCCTTGGTATCAGTTCTTCATTTTCCCCCTCCCTCCCCACCCCCTCTTCCTCATGAACCCTTGGATAATTTATAAATTTTTATTATTTTGTCATATCTTACACCATCTGATGTCTCCCTTCACCCACTTTTCTGCTTTCCATCCCCCAGGGAAACGGTTATATGTAGATCAAAGTGATTGGTTCCCAGTTTCTCCCTCACCTTCCCCTTAACTTCCTGGTATTGTTAATCTCATTATTGGTCCTGAGGGGTTTAATCTGTCCTGGATGCCCTGTGTTTCCAGCTCTTATCTGTACCACTGTACATGCTCTGGTCTAGCCGGATTTGTAAGGTAGAATTGGGATCGTGATAGTCGGGGGGAGGAAGCATTACAGAACTAGAGCAGCAGTTCTCACCCTGTCGGTCTGGACCCCTTTGGGGGTCAAATGACTCTTTGACAGGGGTCACCCAATTCATAACAGTAGCAAAATTACAGTTATGAAGTAGCAAATAATTTTATGGTGGGGGGGGTCACCACAACACGAGGAACTGTATTAAAGAGTTGTGACATTAGGAAGGTTGAGAACCACTGAACTAGAGGAAAGTTGTGTGTTTCATCATTGCTACATTGCATCCTGACTGGCTCATCTCCTTCCCGCAACCCTTCTGTAAGGGGATGTCCAGTTGCCTACAGATGGGCTTTGGGTCTCCACTCCACACTTCCCTTCATTCACAGTGACATGATTTTTTGTCCTTTGAGGCCTGATACCTGATCCTATTGACAGCTTGTGATCACACAGGTTGGGTGTGAAGCCTTCTTTTCATATAAGATTACTTGTTGATATAAAGCTCTTTCTTATACATATATGAGTGTCACTGGATTTGTTTATCTTGACAACCCAGCCAAACACAGCCCAATTCTCCCTTTGAGAACAGTGAAGCCTGGGGAGAGAACCAGGGTGACTTGGGGCACCTATGGGTGCTGAAGTCATGGGGAGAATCAAGCTTGAGGCTGATTTTAATGGGGTCATGGGTAGATAGGATAGGTGGGGAGGTCCGTGCTGAATGAAAGGACCACAAGTGCCCCACACAGGCTGTTCCATTGACCTCTGTGTCTCCTTGGCCAGCACAGGCCCACCACCGACCAACCGCACAGAACATGCTCTCTGATGGCAACCAGCTGCTTTCAGACACCCTACTTTGGAGACACCTAAGTTGGGGTGAAGTCCAGCAGGGCTGGACAGGTCACAGGTCAGTCAGACATGGGTGTTCTGATTTGCTAATGCAGGGACCTTCACTTTTCCTCATTATCTGGGGAGAGGAGGGTGAGGGTGAGATGGAAAAGCAGTGGTTTACACTCTGTGGCTTTGCCCAATGGGGAGTGCCCCCCAGTCTGGCTGGAAGGCACCTTGTGAGGTAGCACCAATCAGGATCCCCATAGGCTCCCGGCCACCCTGTGTTCCCCCTCCTCTGCCCCGCATGCAGTCCTTACCCAGGACAGTGAGCCGTGCGGGGCGGGAGCGGATGGCTGCCTGGATGGCCTGGCATTCGTACACCGCATCATCTTGCAGTTCGGCCCGCAGAATCTTCAGGTGATGTTCCCCTGACAGGTGGTTCCCTACCACCAGATACTGTGGGTAACCTGTGTGGAGAGCAGATTTGTCAAGGTTGAAGGAGCCATTCACAGTCAATGGGACACAGCAGTGGGATGGAGACCTAGCCATGGGCTTGGTCTTCAAGGTTGCATGAACACACCATTTCTCAGGCCACTGATCTCAGGATCGGAAGAACAAAAGCGAGCGCTTCCTAGTATGTTGAGAGAGAAAGAGAGAGAGAGAGACAGAGAGAGAGAGAGAGAGGAGAAGGAAACTGCGGGAAGCCAGTGCACGTCATGCACAGTCAGCACCTGTCAGTCTTATTGTACTCAATAGACTTCCGCAGAGATCCCAGGCGAAGGTGGTCTAGGAAGAAAGACGTGGCAATCTACACCTGAAAACCAGCCACTGAGAGTCCTGTGGGTCACACGGAAGGCATACACACCGACCATGAGGGTGGAGCAGGATCAGGCAGATGTCATGCCCTTGTGCCTTGGGTCACCATCAGTGAGGCCGACTGGACAGGCGCTAACAACAGCCACAACAGCATTAAGGAGATCAGCAAAGATAAGTGATTGAATTCTAAACATGGCCCCTCACTGCTGGGTCAGTACTCTGGAAAGTGGAAAGCTTGGTCCTGGGTTTGCTAAGTAGATGTGCATTTTGATAAGGAGACAGAGCGAGAGCAAGCGAGAGAGAAAGAGAGAGAGAGAGAGAGAGCGCAGAGTGAGGGAAAGAGAAAGGAGAAGAGACAAACCGTTGGAAAAGGCTGACGAGTGACTGTGGGGAAAGTTGTGTTCAGGATGGACAGGAAATAGAAAGGTAGGTCCCTCCTCCCAGTGTCCAAGTCCCCCTGGTCACTCTGACCCAACAGCAACCCCTTCTCTAGACATGTCAACTTCCCACCCTGAAACCCCAGAGCCTGATTAAGTACTTAGGCGGTGCTCAGGACACATAGGAATTTGGGGCCATGAATTATAGATAAATAAAAGCTTAAAGATGCTAAATCATTAATCAGCATGCTTGCTGCTCTGTAGGGTGAATATACATGTCCACAGAAGTTGTGGCTGGCCGGGCTTTTTCCTTGATCTTGGGCCAAACCTCCTTATGCTCTCCCAGTGGGGTCTGCTTCCCATCATCCCTCTCACCTGAGCATGGCCCTACCTGGCCCACCCCCTACAGCTTGGAGTCTGACCTGGGCCTCCCTCCCCACACCCCCTTATTTCCACTGCCCTTCAGCCTCCACCCCACCCCAGCCAGACCCCAACCGCTCCTCATTCGGAAGCGCCTTGGCCAGGACGGCACCAGGACAGAGAGAGTCCTCAGAAATGGTCCTATGGATGTGGTTGGATGCGTTTGGCTTTTTGGAGAGACTAGGCATCAACCAAGTGCAAGAGACAGAGAAACAGTGATGGATAAAGACATGCCAACCTCTCATTCAACAAATCACAACCTCTTTGTGTGCATGAGACTCTTCACGGACCTCCCCAGGACAGCATTAGCATCGGGGGCTGATTTAACCAGGGGACCCATTGCCATCAACCGATGCTCCCTCTTGTGCCCCATGTGGTCGCAGAGTAGAACTGCTCCTCAGGGTTTTCTTGGCGATATGAACCACAGGAGGTGCAGCAGTTATAGCACTCCGGGGTAAAAAACCCACTAGCTGCTCTCTAAGAGAATGATGTGGCATTCTGCTTCCTTACAGATGGACAGTCGTGGAAGCCCTACGGGGCAGTTGGACTCTGTCCTATCTGGTTACCATGACTCAGAATCAACTCAATAGCAGTGGATTTAATCTTTTCAGAGTAATCACCCAGGCCTCCTCTGTACCCTGGAGCTGCTGGGTGGGTTCAAATGATCAACCTTTGGTTTAGCAGCTGATTGAAAACCACTCACCTCACCCAGAGACTTTTGTTAATTTTTCAAGGGGATGGATATGGTTCTGGGTGGCTAGAGAAAGTAGTGAGGTCTCTGTCCCTGTCTGTATTCAAGTTCAGGCTGAGTGGTCATCTGCCGGTGATGCTGCAGCGAAGACGAAAAAACACACAACTTTCCTCTAGTCTTTAGTGCCCAACCCCCCACTGTCATGACCCCAGTTCTACCTTACAAATCCGGCTAGACGGAGCATGAACACTGGTACAGATAAGAGCTTACCACGCCCAGAATCCAGGACAGATAACCGCCTCATGAACAATGATGGGAGTAGTGGTACCATGAAGGTAAAGGGAAGATGAGGGCGAATGGGGCAAAGGGGGAACCGATCACAATGATTGATGGAGAACCACCCTTCCACCCCCAGGGGGATGAACAACAGAAACATGGGGGAAGGGAGACAGCAGACGACGTAAGATATGAAAATAATAATGTATAATTTATCAAGGGTTGACAAGGGTGGGAGGATGGGGGGTGTGGGGAAGAGGAGCTGATACCAAGGGCTTGAATAGAAAGAAAATGATGATGGTAACATATGTACAAATATGCTTGATACAATTGATGTATGTATTGCTATAAGAGCTGTAAGAGGCCCCAATAAAATGATCTGAAAAAAAAAAGAAAGGTTTCGCTAGATGGCCTCATCCACCTCCAGAAGCTAAGGGTTTGGCAGGGGTAGGACAGGGCTCCCTTTAGGGGCCCATTGCTGGTCACTGGAGGTAAGTGAGTCCCATTCCCATTTCTTAGGGTGCTTCCTAAGCAGCTGAGCCCTTGGGCTCCTGTTGGCATGGCTGCGTATCCTCATCGTGCCATCCAATGACCAGGCAGTCAGCTGGGCCCTTGAGACTAAGTATGGCAGCCAGCACACGCCTTCAGGGCCTCTGGCCTCAGTTAAGCCCAGGTGAGGGAAGCTGGTAGTGCCCCCACCTGGCCAGGGCCGGAAATGAATTCCAGGGCAATCTCCCTGCCCGCTGTGTCAGCTGGCCTCCACTGCAGTCCCTCTAGCCCAGCCCCGGATCCTGCTGTGTGGGGGGTATTCCTGGTGTCCAGCAGGCATCGTGGCCGGAGCATGTGCTTTTGTTGTCTAACAAGCTATCAGCAGCACGGTTTTGTTCTCATGAGCTGGTGCACACATCAGCGCTGTGTTTGTTTGTATTTGCCTAATTAGGCAATGAGCTGAGTCTGTCCCAAGGACTGGCAGCACCCCGAAGCAGAGATTCTGAGGAAGTTCTAGTGCCTTTCACACTGTCATCACTCCCTCTTGCTAGTCTCTGGATAGCCAAGATTATTTGTTGAAGGTGACTCAAAGATAGGATTCTTATCTTCCCTGGGGGAGACCTGAGTTCAATTCCTGGGCAATGCACCTCATGTATAGCCACCCCCATCCCCCCACCTGTTAGCCTGTATGTTGCTCTGATGCTCAATGGGTTTCAATCATGCTTCCAGTCTGAAGCAGACTAGGAAGAAAGGCCTGGCAATCTATGTTTGGCCAATCATGGATAGGGGCAGGGCTAGGCAGCACTTTGTCCTGGTGTGCAGGGGGTCCCTGGGTGTCAGGGCCAATTTAATGACAGTAAAAGACAGTTGTGTGACGTGCTGACAGACACACACATACTAAACAGTGCTAGTCCAAATCAAAATGACGTGAGGTGGTGTCTAAAGAGCCCTGACTTTGGAAGGCAGTGCAGGCAGGTGACTGTACAACTTGGGTGTAGGTTAGAAAACAAGAGTCTTGTGCACTGGGATTGGTTATATGAGTCAATTCCTTTCTCAACCGTAACTTTGTTTATCTGTCAAATAAAGGAAAAGCTTCCCTTCCTTTCCCCTCTGGATCATTGTAGATTTATGAGATAATGTCTCAGAAGTACTTGAGCTTCTTAGGAGAAAAATGTTCTATCAATATGGGGAAATGTATTCATAAATCATTTTCTTTGACTGAGTTTTCTAGTGTTTGTGACCAGGCAGACGGTCAGGCCTTCAAGGAGAGTATCATTCCTGGTCGGCTGAATGGAGCCTCAGGGTTAAGATGAAAGAGAACAAGACCTATCACAGGAAGTTCTACCGCCTCAATGTCCCCATAAGAACGCTTTTGTAGCATTAAGTACTCTACAGAGAGTAGCGAAATGGAATTGGCTTCTATTACTCTCATTTTCTTACTGCAGCGGTTCTCAACCTATGGGTCGCGACCCCCTTGGGGGTACAAACGACTTTCACAGGGGTCGCCTGAGACCACTGGAGAACACATATTTCCGATGGTCTTAGGAACTGAGACACTGCCCCTCTATTGTCTCCAGGCGGGTACACCCACATGCAGATATGCCCACATACGAGTACCCGGCGTGAAGACCGTTACCCATGCTGCACCATGCTTCAAGACAAAACTTCATTTATTTGTAATTAGAAGTAAATATTTCACAATCTATAATTACATATTGTTTTTGTGATCAATCACTATGCTTTAATTATGTTCAATTTGTAACAAAGAAATACATCCTGCATATCAGATATTTATATGATGATTCATAACAGTAGAAAAATTACTTATGGAGTAGCAATGAAAATAATTTTACGGTTGAGGAACTGTATTAAAGGACTGTGGCATTAGGAAGGTTGAGAACCACTGCCTTACTGGGAAAGCAAATAGTATTTTTATTGAGCATTGTAAGTTTTGATTGCAGGCCCTGGCTGGCATAAATGGTTAAGTATGTGACTACTAAACTAAAGGCGGGTGATTCGAATCCATTTGAACCCATTCAGAGGCAGCTTGGAAGAAAGACAATTTTTGAGACCTGCTTCTGAAAGGACAGGTTCTAACAACCTCACAGAGCAGCCCTACTGAGCAAACAAGTGGTCACCGTGAGTATGGATTTTCTGTCACTATTGTTATTGTGATATTTTGGGGACATGGGAGCAAATAAATGCAAGGCGAGTACTCTACCTGGAGTTTGATTTTTTTAGCTCTAAAAGGAAAGACCAATGTTCTTCCCAGTTAGAGAGGAGTTCAGTTAGAGAGGAGGCACAGCCCAGTTCACGTGAGTCTACGCTCCTTTTGCACTCAGCTGGGCCCAGGACTGGACCTCAGAAAGCCACTCTCGCTCTATCATAGAGCTGGACGCAGGGTGGGCAGGGCAGGGTGGGGTGGGGCTCTAATTACCAACATGATAGCAACCTCTTTAAGATCCATTGTCCATGGTGACCTGGAGCTTCCCCTGGGCCACTGGCCAAACGAGATGCCAGTTCCTAATGGAAGAACTAAAACTGCTGACCAGGCACTCAGGCAGCTTCTGCACTGGCACTAATGCCGGGTTCAGCTCAGAGCCATCCGGAGCAGGAGAAACTCCCGTTTGGGAAGGTCATATCTGTCCCCCAGGGTAACGGAATTTTCAGTCTCTGAAATTGCCTGATTCCCATAATACTTAAACTTTATGGCAGCACAGTATATTTTAGAGATATTATTGTGTATTTTATCCATGCTAAGCTAGGCTGTAGCACTCAAAAATTGTGATGCTATTGACCATTGCTATGATGTTTCAATATACATTTTTTGGCAAGACATAACTCACATTTTAAAATATTAATTTCCCAACCATCATGTTCCTGAGTGCACTTCGATTTTTTATTTCCCTGCAGCTGTACAACTGAGAAGCAAAGCTACTCTCAGTTGAATACATATTTTTCTGTCCTCCACCCTCACAACTCCCCAGTCGCAGAGGTAGGCAGGTCCCTGGTTCTAAATTTATAGTTGATGCCAAGTCTAGCAAGAGTCTCATGTCTGCCCACCCAGGGGAGAATAATAATGGCTGATGGGTGAGTGACCAAGGTGATAATTCCATTCCTTTCTCTCTCAGGGGAGAGGATAGATTAGAAAGACATCTGTATGGGTTTACAGGGTTGACATTCAAAACCGCTAACAAATGGTGTGGCATGGGCACCAACCAGCAAGAACAGATGCTAGTCACAAACCACCATGGAGAAGTGCAGGCATTTTCTCGGAATATCAACCAGGGTGGGCTCACCCTGGTTTGGGACTCATTTGAAAAACATCTTTCCTTCCCAGAGCCTGATGGCCTCTCATATTTACCATATTTTCCAGTGAGGTTTCAATTTCCTTGGTCCCGCTTTGATGCTAGGAGACTTGGAAGAACCAGGAGGTGACTTCTAGTTCCTTAATAAACTATCACACCTCGATACGATGGAGAGAGATTTTGAACCAAGACACGGGAATAGTTGAACTCTTGAACTCTGACTTCTGTGAGTGGTGTGTGACTTTGCAGTAGACCCTTCATGGCAACACTGTGATACATTTAACAACTCTCACAAGAATTGAGAGTTTACCTGTGACTCATTACTCATGATCAGCGGGACCCTGAACGTCCTATGGGTTTTAGATTCATCTTATGCTGGGGGAGCCATAACGAAAGTGGGAGATTTAATCCAAATGCTTACAAGGTGTATGTTTCCCAGTACGGTGGACGGGGGAAGGGCATCTGGGGGTACTCACTTGAAAGGTCTCTGCCCACGCCTAGTGCTAGGCCATCCTTGATCCACAGAACAAAGCCATCATATTCGGGTATGGCGCACAGCAGTGTCACTGGCTGCCCGGACACCACCACCTCGTCCTGAGGCTGCTGGCTAAAGGAGTACATTTGACCTGGGGAGGAGAGAGGGAGAAAGATGGATTAGAGGGGGTTGGGGAGCAATGCCTAGAGGGCTTTCCCCTCATGCTTAGGAAGTGGAGCTGGGTTAGAGACAGCCCCTCCATCCCACCCCAGGGGCTCACTTCCTGCCTGGGGCCGGCCTGCACCAGTTTTCGAATTGGTCTCTGCCCTCAGTTCAGAAACCAGTTGCTGTTGAGTTGGCTCTGAGCCTGTGTGGGTTAGAGAACAATGGTGCTCCATCGTTTTATGGTTTGGACATGCTTCACCATGTTTTCAGTGACAGTTTGCACAGCCAACAGTTGGTCCGTTCAACACTTTCTCTACCAGTTGGTCAGTGATGTCGGCTACAGCCTTCACAGTGCGTGAGCAGCCCCATGATTTCTGCTCAGGTGGTGCCTTCTATGAATCTAGTTTCCCTGCCCATTATATTCTCATCTTAGTTTACCAAAGAGTTAACTCGTTGGTCTTACATAGGTGGCTTTTTTTTTAAAAACAGGAGGACAGGATTTTTGGATGATGCTCATTATTTTTTTAGATCATTTATGATTTTGCTGCAAATCACAATTTGTTACCTCAGAGGCTAGCTTTTTGTTTGTTTTTAGCTTTTTTGTTGTGAATTAAGTGAAGATCTATAGGCACATTATCAGTTTTATATTCAACAATTCATACACCTCTTGTTTCAACTCATCCATTGCACCCCTTTCAATGTAACTTCAACGATCCCATTTCTTCCTTGTATTTCCATTCTCTTTCTCTTCTCACCCTGCTGAATTATGTCCTGGAGTAAATGCAGCCTTTTGATCTGAAATGGTTGATTATTCTAACACAGGTGGGGAGTGAGGGGGATGGTTCAGTTCCAGATCTGAAGGGTGACGGAGTCTTGGGCGTCTTAGAGGTTAGTTTAGGTGCAAAGTTTGAAGAGCAGCTCAGAGCAATAGTCTGTTCTCCAGTCTCAATCACTCTAGTTCAGTGGTTCCCAACCTTCCTCATGCTGCAACCCATTAATACAGTTCCTCATGTGGTGGTGACCCCCCAACCATAACATTATTATTTGTTGCTACTTCATAACTGTAATATTGCTACAGTTATGAATCTGGCAACCCCTGTGAAAGGGTCATTCGACCCCCAAAGGGCTTGCGACCCACAGGTTGAGAACTGCTGCACTAATAGGTCTTAAAAAAAGAAAACAGAGAAAAGAAAAAGAATTTGAGGTCCGTTCTACATGTCTCCCATGCTTCATCTTTCTGCTGTGCCTCTGACTCAAATGGTTGGTAGTGGTAGCCAAGCACCAAGAAGTTCTTCGGGTTTCAGAATTAATGAGATCATGGTCTATGTAGACTATTTTTCCAGTCGACTAGTTTCTTCTTTAAGTTTTTGGTTTCTTTCTTTCTATTTTGCCCTGGACCAGTAGAGACCACTAGTTGTATCTTATATAGATGCTTACAAAACTTCTAAGCTACAAAGGTCCCAGAACTAGTCACTAATCTAGGAGGTAGACTATAACTTTATTATGCCAATTGGCCAACATGACCCAAGAGACTATGGTCTTATCCTTCAAATCCAGACATCACATTCTACAAAGTGTTGGTTATTTCTTATTAGTATTTATAACAGTGCTCTCTAGGAAGTTAATTATAAACATGAATATATGTGCAAATAGTTACGTAGATGCATACACATACAGGCATGCATAAATGATGTGACAAGAACACATGTGTCAGGGTGACACAAAGCCAGGCAACGATCCATTCTGCCACACACGGGTTTTCTCTGAGTTGGAACCAACTCAACAGCACCTATCAGTACATATATACGCCCACAGACATACATGTGCACTTGCACATACGTTTCTTAGTTGTTTCAAAATTATATATGCCACTGCTGTTACTAGCTGGTGCTTTTTTCCTGTGGACATTTTAGTGACATATTTTAGTGACGTAATTTAGCTTCACCAAGTCTCATTCGGTGAACTTTACCATCACCACCAATAACGAGGAAGGTTATTACGTGAGCCTTCCTTTTTCCCCACCCCTGCCCTATCTCTGGAAACCACTGATGAACATTAATTTCTGAATACATAGACATGCCATTCATTAAAGTCAGAACCTGCCATATCTATGTGTGTGTGTGTGTGTGTGTGATTGACTTATTTTACTCAACATTACATTTAGCCATGCGCCCAGATGTTTGCAGAGCTCAGTTCTCTTTGGTGGTGCGTGGGGTCCCATGGTATACACAGCTGACCATCGAATCCCATGTGAATAAGGGCTGCCAGCACCCTGGGCAGTTGGAAATCTATGTATAACTTTTGAATCCCCCAAACTTAACTACTAATAGTGCACTGTTGCTGGGAAGCCGATGACATAGGCAGCTGATAGATATTTTATTTGTTATGCGTATTATACACTGCACCCATATGAAAACTGCATTTCAACACAAAATAAAAAGGCATTTCATAAGAAAAGCAAGAGCTTTGCACCTGCTGGCCAAGCTGCAGCGATGATTCATGAATTTCCTTTTGGTTTTTACACTGGCTCTTACGCTGGGAGCACTTATCTTGAAATGGTGGGCTATTGCGATCGCAGATCTCAAGCAGCAGGACCGAACAAGCAACTCCACGTTCTCTTGTAAAACTGCAACTTCCCCCTGATTCTTGGGAGCATTTCTAGCATCACTGGTGACACATCGTGGGGTCCCCTGGTGTTAGCCAACATTCCCGGGGCTGCACTAAACGAGATGGAGAACATGCCAGGACCTTCAACGGTGACCTCTTACTGTGGCACACAGTGTAATGGAGAGACTGGCTGCTCAAGCCGAGGTGATAAGCATCACATGGCATTAAAAAAAAAAAGCATAAGTGGACCTGCTTAGTTCAAATCTGTGCTGTCAACTGAGTAGAGCACCTTTTACAGTACTCATCTGTTCATGGGTACTTAGGCAATGTCTACCTTTTTGCTATTGTGAACAGTGCTGCGGTGAGTGGAAGGGTATGTAAGCCTGCTTGTCCCCAGGGTTTATGACAAAGACTTGTGTGGCAGCTCTACCTCTAGGTTTTTAAGGAGCAACCAGACTGTTTACCCCGATGACTGGACCGTTGACATGTTGACATTCGCATCAGCAGTGGGTGAGGGTTCCTCGTTCTCTACACCATCCCCTCCAACTCTTCTTGTCCTTTCCTGTTTTCATTTTTATTCTTACGTTTGTATAGTCTTGACTTTCCTGTTGTTGTTGTTGTTGTTGCTCGGTGGCACTGAGTGGGTTCTGGTTCAGAGCTATCTTATGTACAGCAGATGAGACACCGCCCAGTCCCGCACCACCCATGCAGTTGTTCTCATGTCTGAGCCCATTGCTGCCACCATTGTGGCAATCCATCTGGCCGTGGGCCTTCCTCTTTTTCACCACCCTCTACTTTACCAAGGGTAAAGAGACTGGTCTCTGCGGACAATGTGTTTAAAGTATGTGCGATGAACTCTCACCATCCTTGCTTCTAAGGCACGTTCTGCTTCAAGACAGGTTGCTTTTTTCCCTGGCAGTCCACGGTACTTTCAATGTTCTTCGCCAGTACCGTGGTTGAAAAGCAACAATTCTTCTCCAGTCTTCCCTATTCAGTGTCCAACTTTCACACGCATAGGAGGCCAGTGAAAACACCATGGCTTGGCTCAGGCACATCTCAGCCCTCACAGTAACATCCTTGCTTTTTGGCCCATCTAGTGGGAGTGAAATGATGTCTCCTTGTGGGTTTGATTTGCATTTCTCTGAAGATTAATGAAGTTGAACATCTTATTATCATGTCTGTTGATCACATGAATAGACTCTTTGCTGAAGCTTCTGTTCATGTCCTTTGCCCAGTTCTTGATTCGGTTATTAGACTTTTTGTTGCTTTAAAGTTTTCTATATACTTTAGAATCTAGATGCTTATCAATTATATCACTCACAAAGATTTTTTTCCCTGTAGCTCTACTCTTTTGATAAAGTTCTTTTGATGAACATAAGAATTTAGCTTTTATGAGATTCCAGTTATCTTCTTGCTTCCAGTCGCTCATGCGTTTGTTGTGGTCGATGATCTATCGTTGGAAGACGCTCCCAGAGCTCTGCTTCTGTGCTTTCTTTCAATGACTTTGCGGTTGTGGATTTAACATTTGGGCTCTCAACCCATTTTGTGTGAGGGTTTGTGCCTGGTGTGGGAGGATAGGGCTTTGTCTTATCGTTCTGCGTGTGGAAAGGCGGCTTGCTCCAGAGTGTTTTCAGTGGCTGGTTTTTCAGAAGTGGATCTCCAGACTTTTCTCTGGGGTCTCCTTTTGTTGGAATCGAACTTCCTACCACCTGGTTAGCAGGTGTGTGCTCACCCTTTGCATCCCACAGAGGCTCTGTCATTTACCCTCTACGGGGCAATCAGAGTGATGGGTCTACCTTGCCACTCGGGTCAGGCCACTCCTGTGCTTGGACTCCTTCAAAGACCCTGGAGGGTTTAGGGCCCAAACCCCAGCCCTTTAGTGTTGTTGGGAGGTGCCAACCAGTTGGTTCTGATGCGTTGCAGCTCCGAGCACAACAAGATGGGACGCTGTCCGCTCCTGCACCACCCTCACGGTGGTTCTGTTTGGGCTCATGGTTGCAGCCATTGTGCCAATCGGCTTTGGGGAGCATCTGCTATCCTGTCCGCTTGTCATGCCGTGGTGGCTGGGGTGTTGCTGGAAGCTATGGTGCTGACGTTTCAAATTCTTTCATAGCGGCCGGTATGTCTTTGCAGGAGCTGGGTCTCCATTCTCGGCTCCGTGCTATTCTCCCCAGCACTCACACAGTGGTCGGGGCTGAGCCTTGCCTCCGGGGTCCCCACAGACCAGCCCCACCCCACTCTGTTCCGGTGTTCTCTTTTCCACATGGCTAAAGCCTTCTGAACCCCACTGGCGTGGTTCAGACTTTACCAACAGACCAGGAGCAGGAGGGCTGTCTGTCCTGCTAGAAGGATCTGTGGTCCTTGTGTTTCAAAGGGCCA